CTTTCCCATGTCATAACTTTGGTGTCCTTCATTTGATTTTCACAATCAAGGGCCTATCATTGGAAAGCTCTTGGCGAGAGCAACGACAGGGTACCAATCTCCATTATCCAGGCGCCAGAAATCAGGCGCAGTAACACAGCAAAGTCGTCTCTAAGCCTGATATGCAAGCAAATTCGTCCCATCAACGCCATTCCACTCTCCTTCATCGCAGAACGCTCAAATCTGTTTGAGACGATTCAAACTTCAGCCGGCTACGTCATTATCATGTGCTCAGTCGCTCAAAGAGCACACGAAAAGGGATTTCCCCCCAAAATGGCGAAATGATCGATGAAAAATTTGAATTTGCCGAGGTAAGAATACGGCGTGCGATATCTCTGGCGTCCGACATCGTAACTCTTTGGTGATTGTTGCATTGGACAGCTTAGAGTTCCCGCTACCACGTAGACCCTTAGAATGTGGAATTTGCTCAAGAAACGATGGAGTTACGAAGATTTTACCGCCTGCAGAACTTTCGATCTTATTAGATCGAAACTCGTACAGTCCGTCCACAAAGGGTTAAGGGGAAGTGCATCGATTTTTCGAGTAGGGTCCAGAAGAAAGACAATTTGATATCAGTTCGAATGGCATATCTCTCGCTTCCATACGATAAGCCAAACTTGCCAAATCGCCAATTGTATACTCACGTTGCCATAGCGACCAGCGCAGTGATGACGTATGAAAGGCTTAGCTCCACCACAGAGGTCGATCACTGCAGAAATTGGCCATTTTCAATTGTCTTATTGTATTCACGATGTGAAAGAAGTGCTGTGTTCAATGCTGTTAGTGCCGTGAACTGTTTATCGGCCTTCTCCTGCATTTCCCTAGGCTGACTGTGCCTAGGAAATGGTTTCCTCTAGGAGAAAATGTATTCGCCATCTCTCCTGAGACATTTTCAGCAAACCTTCAAACCTATGACATTATTTCATTCGTCAATCTCCACCACCCGTCGTCTCACCTGGCTTCAGAAGATGTTATGAGAGATAGGAGAGTCGCCAGGAAGCATCACATCCATCTTCAGGAAGTGGAAAGAGCAAACGGCATGGGTCTTTGGTTGGGGTAAATGCTGAACGTCTGATTTGTCCCAACCAAGATTTCAGCATTTTGTTCTTCACTACTTTCGCTTGTCTGCTAATGTCTCCGCACTCCAGCTTTCTCCTGTCGGTGTCAGTTCCCAGTACACAACCGAGAGGACTACTAACAAACAATTCACTGCACTAACAGTATTGAACACAGCCCTTCTTTCACTTCGTTAATACAATAAACCGCAAATGACCAAATTCTGCAGTGATCGACCTTCTCTGTGGTGGAGCTAAGCCTTTCACATGTCATCACTGCACTGGTCGCTATGGCAACGTGAGCATTCAATGGCGATTTGGCAAGTTTGGCTTATCATACGGAAGCGAGAGATATGTCATTCGAACCGATATCAAATATTAAAGGGAAAGTTTAGGCAAAAATTAAAATTTCACCAGTTGTAGTCTTCGGGGTGCTGAGTCGAATGGTCTTGTCCGAGAAAGCTGAGACGCTCCCTTCCTACTTGAATCCCAATCGAACTCGCGCACTTCCACCGAAACTGGGTGACTGCGCCCTACTAGATGGGGATTTGTATGCAAAATGTCACTAAAAGCGCCATTTCGTTCTTATAAAAGTACGGATGACCGCGATTGGCCCATATGTTGTAGTCTTTTGGACGCTGAGTCGACTGGTTTTGGTCCGGAAAGGCTGCGATGCAGCGTTCCTCCTTTATTCCCAATCGAACATGGTTGAACAAGCGGTCACGTGCTCCTGGTTGCCCAAATCACCTGGTCACCACGCCAGCAGGCGACAACTTTCACACCAAGGTTCAACTCGAGTGACAGGACTGCACCCAAAAAAGGTCAAACAGGCTAGTAAGTTGTACCCTGCAGGCACGGTGACCAGGTGACTGGCGTACGCAGGAGCACGTGACCGCTTGTTCAACCATGTTCGATTGGGAATAAAGGAGGAACGCTGCATCGCAGCCTTTTCGGACCAAAACCAGTCGACTCAGCGTCCAAAAGACTACAACATATGGGCCAATCGCGGTCATCCGTGCTTTTATAAGAACGAAATGACGCTTTTAGTGACATTTTGCATACAAATCCCCATCTAGTAGGGCGCAGTCACCCAGTTTCGGTGGAAGTGCGCGAGTTCGATTGGGATTCAAGTAGGAAGGGAGTGTCTCAGCTTCCTCGGACCAAGACCATTCGACTCAGCACCCCGAAGACTACAACTGGTGAAATTTTAATTTTGCCTTAACTTCCCCTTTAATTGTCTTTCTTCTGGACCCTACTCAATAAATCGATGCACTTCCCCATTAAACTGTAGCCATACAGTTACACAGTTACGACAGTCAGACCTAAATACCTGGATAGGCCAGGCAACCGCATAATCAAACACACACACATACTGTACGTCAGCATGACATATGCTGTAAAGCGGT